TGAATAGATGGAATAGAAGCAGAAAAACAACAATGAACAGCTCTGTGTAGAAAGAAAAAGATTGGGATCCCAGCAGGTATTTGGGTCTGCCACTTGGACATTTTGATTGGTTGTGTCATGGGTACCTCGTATGCCTGACATACAGAATATTACAAAATTAGAACTTGGTTCTGGATTTGGAATGAACTCTCTTACTTCTACTCTTTGGTCCCTGGGTCTACTTGAAAATTATTAATTTTTTTCCTCCTAGGAACCCCTTTGATACATATAAAATAGTGTTGAAGAATTATAGGGGACTTTGATTCCTGCTTCTTAACAGTTGAAGTATGAAGATCAGTTCCTGAGTAATTTTGAGTGTTTTCAAAAGCTGAGTAAGTTTCTTATGCAAGCCAGAATTCTCTTTCAAAGTATGATACTCGGAAAACCTATGTTTCTTTTTGTATTCCTGCAATTCTCTCTGTCTCTCCCAACTTAATGAAAGATTGCTAGAATGGTATCCATACACATTTTATTCTGAGTTCCTGCATCTAATTATTTCACACTTCGATCTGATTTTTGCCCTGGGGAAATTTGTTTGGCTGAAAGATATGCCTGGGCCTTTTTGAGCTCGTCTTTTACTTTTGATGTAAAAATAGATGTTTCTCCTTTCCAGTCTTGCAGGACTCAATTCTCTATTTCATTTGCAAAAACATTTCGGTCCTGTTTGGAACTCAATTTCTTACTTGTGTTACTTTTGTCAATTCGGAAAATTGAATACACACAAATAAGGTTCTGTTTTGTCTAATCTCTTTCTCTAAGGCTACAAACTAATTAGGCACGATAACTGCCTTTCAGCTCTTTGCAATTTTTCGTCAGATGGACTGTAGTACATAACCCTAGTGTATCTGACCAGGAATTTAACTGCCCGAAGGACAATTTAGGTGTTTAAGCTTTTATTACAGTAGTACCTCATTTTCAGACATCAATTTCTGTATTTTCAGACACACTTCTATGCTGCAGCACTCTCTCTGAGTCTCTGTGTGCAATTTATGTGCACTTGTGTGCTTGGACATAAAGTTCAGAGAACGGCTTTTGGACTCTTCCTCTTTATCTGCATTGCTGTTACTATGATTTTCAGATAAGTCTCTCCCTGAGCCTGAAGCTCATGTTTTGGCTAGGCTGGCTGGACAGCAAGCTCCCAGAATCAGTCTGACTCTGGTCTTCCATTCTGGAGTTACAAGCATCTCCAGCCTTTATGTGGGTGCTGAGGATTTGAACTCAGGTCCTCCTGTTTTCACAGCTTCTAACCCACACATAGCTTTCTAGCCATGTCCCCCAAAGCAGTATATCTTGACCAGATTCACACTTATTAGAACGAGGATAAAAATCTCTTGAAGTTGGATTTGTAAAATTAAGTATTTATATTTATGCCACCAAGATCACTATTTCATGCTGTTATCTTATTGGCTAATATATTCGTGATGATTTTCACCATGTTACTAGAGTTTGAGTTTCTTAATACAAATCTATAATAGGACAGATGATTACCTGGAACAGTACCCTGTAAAAACCATGTAGTATGGCTCTAAGCACATAATCACAGTATTTACACATGAAGTTGTGTGTAAGCCACTCCTGGGATTGCAGTTATCTGCTGCCTGCTTTATGTGTGCTCTGGAGCTGAGTGGGGACTGAGGGTTGTCCGACAGGTCTAGCGAATTGCTGAAACACTCAAAGCCATTGATGCACAAGGTCAGAGAACTGCACTCACTAGGGTTGGCTGTCTGCTTGGTATACATTCATTACCGCATCCACAGTATAAACACTTTCTTATGTGGGAAGAAATGCTGACTGAATATAAACAAGGCTAATGACCTGGATCTGTTGGTTCCAGACATTTATCAGCTGTTTTCCCTCTGTAGGGGGACAGCATCTTGACCACAGATGTGAAAATCAGCCCTTCCTTCTCACGGAAGGTGCTACTATAGTCCCACCCCCTCCCCCACCCCAGCCCACAATCTAACTAACTCTCCCTTACAGAGTTTGGCGGGGGTTTTTAGTGATTCCTTTCAGGATGGCAGTTACATTCTTCTATGAACTGAAGCACCAACACGAGGAAGGAGATTAGTAAAGAACCTGAGCATGTTAACAAACTTTCTGTTGCGGTGGAAACACATCTAACCATCAACCTAAAGGCATAAAGAGTTATTTTGACTCGAGGTTCCAGGAGGTTTAGCATGTGGTGACATGACATCAAGTTTCTCAGCGAGGATGCGGCAAGAGCTTTGTGCAGCGGTGGCAGAAAGCCGTTCACTTCGTATTTCTCAGATAGATTCCCCAAATCTATTCTCTCAGTGATCTGCTTCCTATCTCTCAGAGTGTCTTCCATCTTCTCATTGTCCACTCAAGTATACATTTAATATATTCATGAGAATGTGATAATGAGGCAGTGATGGTTCACGCCTTTGATCTCAACAATCAGAGACAGGTGGGTCCCTGAGTTAGAGGCCAGCCTGATCTACAGAGCGAGTTCCAGGATGGCCAGAAACCCTGTCTTGAGAAATTAAACAAAAAGAAAAGAAAAGAAAAGAAAAGAAGAAAAGAAAAGAAACTTGTAAATGAAATCTATTATTTCATATGCTAGCCAAAAAAAAAAAAATCTACCCCCACATATCTCTCTCTCTCTCTCTCTCTCTCTCTCTCTCTCTCTCTCTCTCTCT